ACGAGAGGTGCTTCCCCGGGCCTGTTCGGTTTTTTGGGGAACGCAGAACTCTCCTGAAAAAAATTTTTTTTCCTTTCTATTTCTCTTTTATACTCAAACGCATCATATGTTTCATATAGAAATGTGTGTACTGATTTTAGTGAATAATTGTAATTTGATGAGAAAAAACTGCGAGAAGCTTCCTTCTCATATTTTTCGCGGGGTATTTTGCCTTGCTGGACGTTGTACGGGTAAAAGACGGCTTTTGCCCAGCTGTTTTTTGCTGTTGGCGTTCTGACGGCGCTGCTACTGGTGATTCGTCAATCGATCATCCTGTCCAATGTCATTGTCTCGTATAATAAATCATCTGTTGTTTCCGCTTTAGCCTAGCACCCTAACTGGTTCCTTCGATTCATTGGCACTTTCATACGCGGTACCTGATTGGTCCCTTCGATTCACCGACACGTTTACACGTGGTACCTAATTAATTCCTTCGGTCCATCGACACGTTCATACGTGGTACCTAATTCTTTTTGGTCCCTTCAGTCCATCGACAGGTTCATAACACGGTGCCTAATTAGTTCCTCGATCCATCGACACGTTCATACGCGGTACCTAATTTTTTTGGTTCCTTCGGTCCATCGACATGTTCATAACACGGTGCCTAATTGGTTCCTTCTGTCCGTCAACACGTTCATTCGTGGTACCTAATTTTTTTGTTTCCTTCAGTCCATCGGCACGCTCATAACACAGTGCCTAATCAGTTCCTTCGATCCATCGGCACGTCATACATGGTACCTAATTGGTCCCTTCTATTCATTGACACTTTCATACGTGGCACCTAATTTTTTTTGGTTCCTTCGGTCCATCGACATGTTCATAACACGGTGCCTAATTAGTTCCTTCGGTCCATCGACACGTTCATATGCGATACCAGAATTAACCCTCTCCTTTTAACCGTTTTACCATGCCCCATAAGCGATCCCCGAAGTGTCCAAGAGTCCACCGATAACTCTTTGTTGCCACGGGATGCATCACTGGGGAGCTTATAACTTTTACTGTCTCTTTCTCTCCCTCTTTTTCTGTCCCAGGGCCAACCAGTTGCCATCCCATCAAAGCACATCACCCATTTTCTCTTTTTTTCGAGTGAAAGTTCATTCCAGCCCGCTATCAGTTCTTCGTTCCTTGTGCTTCTTTCTGTTGTCTTCCTCTTTTCCTTTTTCTTTAAGCACTGTGACCGTCATACTGTCACGAGGTCCTGTCGCGGTGTTGAGTTAAGACGTATG